TGCCCATGAAGCCAACCCTGCCTGAAACTATAACAGTTCCAGAAGAAACTAAAGGAGAAGATTTTATTACCGTGGGTTGTGCAAATACCAGAAGCATGATCTGTAAAAGAATGGATTGATCAGTTGGACGTTATCAAAATTTGAATGTTCTGTTCTTAGATTGTTAAGTGAATGAAAAGATAAGCCGCAGACTGGCAAATAATACTGGTAAAAAAAATAGAAATTTTGAACATTGATTGTACGCTATGTGCCAAGCATTGTTCTAAGAAATACATATACGCCAAGTCAGAACAACCTTATAAAGAAGATAAAGATTTTATCCACATTTCGTATTTGAAAGGTACAGGGAGTTAAGAATCCAGCTTAATGATAACAAACTTAGTAATTCAAGGGGCCAAAACAGGAGCTCAGGCTCTGATTCCAGAGTGCACGCTCTGTCCATCTCCCACCCTAAAAACAGAAGACACTTTTTCCCCTTTAAAAACATCTGTTCTGAAGAGAGGTTTGAAAAGGTCATTCACTTTTTATTTAAACAGAGGACTTTTTAAAAGTCCTGAAATAAGGCATTTTGATGGCCACCTCTGCCCAGCTATGTTCCACATAGAACATCCTCTTCCTATGAGCCTTTCCAAGATTGGGCAAACCAAGAGGTTATCAGAGTTTCCGGGACTGGTATCAGCAACCCAAGGGTAGCACAAGTAAGTGTGTAACCCTTAGTGCCAGATCAAGCAGCCTTGAGCTGGAATTGCCACATGGCCCCGTTTACTCTTCTGGAGAAAGGCGACATTCTTGCCGGTGAGCACATTGTGCTTTCTCATGCCCTGTAAGAATGCAGGTTCCTTCTCCAGTGACCACGTCCATGGAGGGAGTGATGAAGGCATGTGAACACTCATGTTAATCTGTGTGTCTGAGCCCACCCACTGTTTCACTGCAGGCCCTGGAGAAAGAAGTATCAAGTCCTAAAAAGGCATTTGGGCTGAATAGCACAATATTCTTGGATACCCTTGCTTCATGTAAACACAGGGTGATTGTGAATTCTGAGCCTGGGTGTTCCAGTTCTGCAAGGGTCCAGTTAGCATCGAGAATGCATCCCAGAGAAGGCTGCAGACCTCTTTGTCTGGAGGGGGGCATACATGGCTCTGGTCACCAGGGCTTCTGAGAAACTTTATGAATATTTCATCCCAGGTTCCCATTGAGGTAAATTTTGGAAGTCTGGAGCACTTTTACGGCAAAAGGCTCTGGCTAGCCCAGCTTATTTTTACAAGTGTGAGTGAAACACTTTGATGTAAAAGTCATAGGAAAACTCAATTTCCTTCTTTGCACAGTAGAAATAAGGTAGCTGATAAGGTTTATTCAAAAGCTGGTAATTGCTGAGTTAATTCCATTTTGAACCATCAGTGCCAGAAGTCTTTAGTGACTTCAGCTTTGACGTCATTTAAGTGTCTAAGAATACAAAAACATTGCTTAGTCCCTGATACTCTCTTGATTCATGGGTCAAAAAGTGTAGGATCATAGTCCTTATTCCCATCATATAATTTTGCGTGAGTTAAGGATCGCATTTTTGCTGGGTGTTCTTGATCATGTGGAGGGTACATACCTTTGAATCCACTCTCCACATTAACTCAGCCTTTCTAACTTTAAGCCAGTCACACAGAGAACCTCCAAAAAAACCTGTGGCATTTGACACTTGCCACCCCCAGGGCGTGGCTTTCTGAGACTCAGCAAAGCCCAAACGATGAGAATGGTCGCTCCTTTGTGTCACACTTTAAAACCTAAAATTTAATCTTAGTCAAGTCAGGAGAAGTACAGGGTTGAAGTGTGGCTGTGCATTGTTAAATTTTGCCAAACAGAGACAAATCTTCGGTTTTTAATTTTGCAATTTTTTGAAACTCTTGGAAAGAGAAAAACCACTGGAACAAAAGGTCCACATACATATATCTGTTTATTATTATCATCTGTGGTGATATGATTGGCTCCAAGATAATAGCTTATACCCACAAGCCCCCGCCAGCTTTCTCTCTCAAATCGCAACATTCTCTTTGTGTGTATTTATATTAATTTAAGAGTGTATAAAACTATGTCTGCGTTTAGAAGAAAGCACTTCTTTGGGGTTTCGTAAATCTGCATTTTCATGATAAGTGTACATGTAGACCATCTATGTAGGCACTGAAGTAAATGAGAATGTCACTTGTTTCCAAACAATTATTAAAGGGAATGTATAAGGATTAGGGGAGATGAGGTTATTACATTCACCCGTGAAACCAGCATTAAACAGTTGCTTCTCATTTCATCAGGATAAAGGAATGTGCTCTGGGGACATAGCGCTATAGTCATAAAGTACTGATGTGGGTAAACAAAACACCCGCCTGCTGCAGGTATTTCAGACGGGGTGGGGAGGAAGGTTCTCTACCGGGGGAAGGCAGGAAGAGCTGAGATCCCTATCTGTTTCGCTCTCCTAACTATGCAAATGAAGGCACCAATCCATGTCTGTGCACGAATAAAGAAGACTCTATCTAATTCATCTCCCAGCGTGTCTAAAGGCGGGAGGTTTGCCGGTGAAGGCCCTCAAAATTCATGTCCCTACTGACTGTGCGTTTCCATGCTCATTTCTCATCTGAAGGGCTCGTTTTTTTTTTTTTTTTTCCCTTGAAGGTACACACAAGACTGTACCAAAGTTCATTGTGCAATTTTGTTTTAAACCCTTGAAGGACAGCTTTTCCACCAGAAATCTAACGTGAATCTTAAAATTAACAAAATCTTCTGCAGAGTGGGGACCAAGCGGGACTTCAGGGACTGGAATGCGAATTTTAATGTTTTGTTGCAAAAGGAGATTCTGGACATTCTCAGCATTGCATATAAAGCCACTTACGAGGACCAATACCCGAAGCAGTGCATTAATGGCCTAAATTAAGTTACAGGTATGAATTTTACATAAAACGGATGAATATCACATGTCGTGGAATTTTAAATACTCAAGTCCGTGCATTTTTAATATCTATATGCTCTAATTTAAAAGGCAATTGCATTTCTTGAGCCCACTTTGCATCTTCGTGGGTAACAGAAAACCCGTACCACGTTTTATTTATATGTCCCTTCACCAAAACCCTATATTCAGCATTCTTTTCCTTTTTTGCTAAGCTTTAACATTAAAAAAAAAA